ACATTGGTGAAATATTATGTTGTGTATGTTATTAAATATTTTACCACATTTTTTTGCTTCAAAATGTTTTTCCTATTTTCCTTCTCTAAAAACAGGTGCGTCTTATGGTTTGAAAAATTCAGTAGCTTAATTTTTCTACTATATTTTCCATTTTGTCTTTTCTCCTTTTGAGATTATTTTTACTTTTTGTCTTATAATTTTATTACATTTCTAAAATCTCAGTTTATTTTGCTCTTGCCTTTTCATTACTCAGTTAGAATGATACCCTTTTTTTCAATCTGTATACTTTTTGATTTGGAAGAATTTCAACTTTTTCCTAGTTATTTATCATAGAGTGGTAAATTTTTCTTTAGTAGATTTCTATGTATTTTGATAAAATTGATATTTTTTAGTATGTCAATCACTGTTTTTCTTGACCTGGTTATAATTTAAGAAAGATGTTATTTCTTCAAGTTAAAATATTATATCACAGTATTCATATTAATAATATACACAATATATAACTATAATTATGTCTTAAAGTATAATATGAACATATTTTATACATACATTATTTCCAAGTGGGTGGACATCTTTTAATTTATTGTGAGTATTGAGTATGTGTTTGTAATTTCTATCTTTTTTAATTCGGTGAGGAAAATAATGACTCCTAATTTTGCATGTTAATACATAGTTTGCTGTCTCATCTTCTAGTTACTTCTCTAAAGAAATTTAAATCACATTTTATATATTTTTAGTTTTTTCTTTAATATAAGCATTTCCTCATGTAATTAAATAATTACTTAAAAAGATTTTAATGCCTGCATAGTATTATAAACATCTTTTATAGACTTTAATGAGAGCAATTTTGTTGACCTTTTAAATAGTGTTGTAGTAACTTTATTTGTATCTTTACATTTTATGTATCTTTAAAAACACACACACATGGCTTGAAATCCGAAGGGAACAAAAGGATTTACATAGTCTGTTTCTGTCTGTCCTCCAATCTTTCTTCCCTGTGAACTAACTAGTGTTATCAGTTGTGTTTTTTTTCAGGGCTGCTGCTGCTCCTGCTTTTTAAATTAGTAGATGAATCCATATGTACTTTTTTCTTTTTCACAGAAATTACCATCTTTATTCCCACTCAGTATACCATGGAGAGGATTCACATCAGTGTGTAAAAACACCTCATTAATTTTAAGGCTGCAGAGTGTTCCAACATATACATGTGTCATAATTTATTTAAGCAGACTAGTATTTCTAGATATTAAAGTTCTAACACTTTTTAAATTAAAGTGTATTTACTGAGATTTCCTCCTTGTTTTTAAAGTGTAGATCTCCAGAGTGTATTTTTTCCCTCACTCCCCTTATTTGACACGTGGTTTTGCTAGTGAAGAATGGGTCAGGCTGATGACTGCCGCCCTCTTACAGGAGTTACTGTCCCTGTAAAGAAATGCCGAGCTTACTTCCTTGAGGGGGTTAGGGAAACAGGGGCATTAGGCGTTGGAGTTGGTATTTAAGGAATCCTGAGATTGAAAACCCCAACAGTACAAATATTTCACATTTGTTTACAATGTGAAATACAATAACATGCATAAGACAGAAAAGTAGTACTTAAAGGATTATGAAATGAACACCTGTATGACCCCATTCAGATCACAAACAACATTGCCTAAGCTTGTGGGGCCTTTTTCATTTATAGCTCCTTGCACGTCCCCAGTGGTGGCCACTTTCTTGACCATTATTGCATTCATGTTAATTGTCTTCATAACTTTATAACCTCATTATGCATTCTTAAGCAATGTAGTAAAATTGTGCTTATTTTTGGAACTCTTCCCTAATGTTTTTAGATACCTGAAAATTTGTACCCCCAAGAGCAGGCTTGAAGAGTCACAGAGGGTGTGTGGGAAGTGAAGGGGCAAGGAATTCTATATATGTTGTCTTAATGAAGCATGGGGGACTCAGTCTTAGTATTATTAGGTGAACTTGAGATCTTTTTTGTACCAGGTGATGGAGCTATATCTTCACTGTTGCTGGATTCTGGAACTGGTTTTGTGTTTGGTGCTTTGAAGCACTGCTTCCTAAGCACTTACTTGCTGTGACCAGGGCATAGTCCTCCCTGGAGCTCTCTTTATATGCCCATTCCCTGTGGATTGCACACACACACACACACAAAAAGACAAATTTTTTCTAAAGCCATGCTTTTTTGTTTCCTAATTTGTAAGAGCATTGGAGTTTAATTTAGGGCTTTATTCATAAATCCTATTGTCTCATTTAGGGACCTTGGAAGCTTGAGCAAATCAAAGCTTTTTCAATGGTATATAGATCATGTGTGATTTTTTAAAAAAAGAATTATTCTATATAAAAAGACCATAGAAGTAATTTCTAGTTAAGTTTGTAGTTGAGTCGCTCACAAAATTTGTGATGGTGCTTATACCACAACCTAATACACATACAAATATATGTGTGTGTGTGCCAAAGTTTCACAAACAGTACTTTTACTATATATAATTAATTACTCTGATATCATTTGTTCTGTTCTAATTTCATTAAAAATAAATGGTGATTTATTTTTGAAAGGCATCTGCCCTGCTAAGTTGTCTGCAGGATCCTTTAATAGGTCATTGCTTGCAGTTGGAAAGGTGCTGTGATTTTCTAGAGGAAAAGGCTGGCTTCGCGGGATTAAACGGAGTTAGGCAAACTAGAGTCATGGTGTGTGTGCTTAAGAGTGTGAACTTTGCTCAGCTTCTGGCCCTACCACTTGCCAGTCACAAGCAAGTAGGTATTCTTGAGCTTAAGCCTTTTATAAAATGGGAAGAGCACTTCCAACTTGGGCTTTTGAGGATTAAATGAGAGAATATGTTTCTGTAAGGTAAGCATTAATAAACACCTGTTGTTATTAGCCTTTATTACTTGTTTCAGGACAAATTGGAGTTTCTCTGACTTTTTAGCTCAGTGGTTTTTGTACAGATACAGAATATACTATGACAGGAGTTATGGGACAGTGTTAAGTAACAGAACAGGTGGATGGGAATTGCTTAGTTGATCTGCTGACCCATTGGAATCAGTTCAGGTGGCTGCTGGAGTCTGTGCTTGCAAATCTGCTAGTTTATTATGGGAGTGGGAACTGCAGAAGATGCCAGGCAGTCACAATGCCTTCAGTGCAGAAGAGTTGGACTTCCTGTTCTTGTTCATGGGCAGGAGGTTAAAGCTAAAGTATGTGTATGTGTGTAAGATCAAGTCAAAAAGGCCAGAGGACATATTCGAGGTCTGTCAGGAAAAAGTCCAGGCATTGCTAATATAATGAGAATGGTTTGCACGACATGGATGTAACCTGGCAGCCAAGGAAAGTGGACTAGAATGAGCATGCATGGACCGTGAGGACTCCACTATACTAGTCAATGGGGGGTGGTAGACACTATTCAGTGAGCATGTGTGCTGTGTGGCTGGTGCATTCACAATGACTAAGCAAGTAGAACAACGAGTGTGCATGGAATTTTTTGTGAAGCTTGAACATTCTTCCATGGAAACTATTGGGATGACTCAGAAGGCTTTTGGGGATGATGCAGTGAGTGCAGTGCAAATAAAAGTGACACAAATGCTTTAAAGGTGATTGAGAATCTTTCAAAGTGGTCCACGTTCTGGAAGGCCTGCAACAAGCAGAACACCTAAGAATGTTGAACATGTACAGGCTGCAATCAACGAAGACTTCTGCTTTCCCAAAACCAAAATCACCTTTGAAAGGGAAGAGATTTCAGACCTTTGATTGGATTCAGGAAAAGACAACAGGGCAACTGATGGTGATTGAGAGAACTGGGTGAGGTCCCAAAGTGCCTACTTTGAAGGAGACTGAGGCGTCATTGTCCCATGTACAATGTTTCTTGTATCTTGTATATTCTTCAGTAAATGTCTCTATTTTTCATAGTACATGCCTGGATACCTTCTGGATGGACCTTGTATTCTTTTGAATCTTCACTCTGCCTCCTCCCATATTTTACTTTGAAAATCAGTTCCTGCTCTTCTACCACCCTTTTTTTAAAGAATGACCAGTTTTTATATTTTAAAGATTTTTAAAAATTTATTTATTTTTAGAGAGGGGGAGGGAGGGGAAAAATGGAGAGAAGAAACATCAATCAGTTTCCCCTTGCAAGGCCAGCATTGAGACGTATGCCCTGACTGAGAATTGACCAGTGAGTGGCCTTTTGGTTCTTAGGACTGCACCCGACCAACTGAGCCACACTGGTCAGTGTGACCAGCTTTTATATTTTAGATAACTGTCTGTTCTTAAAGTGAATTGAAGCAAATTTGAATGTTAAAATTTAAACAAGAAAATTAAATTTGTTTAAAGTCCTGTCCTGAAGAGAAACTCATTTATTAACATTTGATGTTTTTCCTTCCAGTCTTTTCTCATGCATTAAAAAAAATAGTCCTTGAATTTAAAAAAATATTTGGCAATAGTACTATACATCAAGCACTTTTATAATGAAATTAAAAACTGAACTGGTTAGATAGCTCTAGAGCAATCAATAAGATGGTGGAGGCAGGGAGAAGGGACGCTGTTGAACAGAAGAGACAGTGACCTCATACTGTCTCGGACTGAAGGGTAGCCCTCAAATTAACCTGCCCTCTCAGGTATTCTGTAACAAGTAAGAATTTGACTTTAAAACTCTTCCCTACTTTTTACTAGTTCTCCCTTATTAGGCATGTGCTCCTCGAGGTCAGAACAGGTCTTATGGTTGATAATGTTGCTAAAATTATTCCATTAGATTGCTGGTAGAGTTTCTGGTTTTTGTGGAATATGAAAGCTGAACTGTTTATAATAGTTCTACTAAGCATATATGTTAGTGCTTTTCAACTGCTTCAGGTTCCTCAACCAGGGAACCCACCCAGATCCTGAGAAAAAAAAACCCCAGCCACGATGCAGGAAGTTACCCGCCCTCCATGGCAGGGCCTGAATGGGCCGTGCTGTCTGGCCATGGTGACCTAACATGAGGCCAATCTGTTTTTTCTTTCTCCTGCAGATTTTGAAGCCAGCTTCATTAGGCTGTTGGACAAAATAACAAATGGTTCTCGAATTGAAATAAACCAAACAGGTAAGCTCCTTTTCTTCCCATTCCCGAAAGCATCTACACATGCACTACTTAAACATTCTTGTGCTTCTTGCTCCTTTTGGTAGTATAAATACTGTATTCAGATGGGAAAAGTCCAGTTTCCTGTTTGTGATTCAGTTGTTTGGAGATACACATGAACTCTGCCATTTTAAGGAGCACACACTTGATTTAAGGAAGTAAGAAGAATGAAAATTTCAGATCAACAAACAAGCATGCCCCCTTTCTTTAACAGTAAAAATATTTTATACCTAACATTAATGTGCAACTTGTCAGAGTGCATTTACTTACCTTGTTACAACAAAACCTTACAGCAGACTCTATGAGGTAATTGTATGTGCTGAATTTTATTTTTTTATTTTGTCTTTAAAAATAAGGTTCAATAAGTGTATGCAAAAATTATGAAAGTCCCTTCGCCTGTTTCCTGTTGCGCTCCCTCCCCAGGTACAGCCGTGGGCACATTTGCTTGTATGGGTACTTCTTAGACCATCGACAGGGCTGTGCTCGCTGCATGCTCTGCAGCCAGCTTCTTTTTTTTCTTCACTAGCACAAATGTCGCAGGTTAATCTCAACTATTTCCATAGGCCTAATATAGTATTCTGTTGTATGAATGCATAGTAATTTATTTAATGGCTCCCTACTGATAAACATTCAGGTTGTTTCTAGTTTTTTGTTTGCTATTAGAAATTCTTTTATCTACATTGTATAGGGAGGAGACCACACAAACATCTTTTGACAAGCTCCATGACTGTGTACGTTTTTGCATATGTGCAACAAAAGAAACTCTGGACTTTCCCCTATGTTGTCTCTTTTTGGAAAGAAGACAAGCTTGGCTTCATAAGTGGCCTGACACCACACTGAAGTTGTTCATCTGTAGCTGCATTCAGAGAACAGCTTTTAGGCACGAGGCTTCAGATGCCCTTTGCAAGCTGATTCCATTAGACTTCCTTGGCTTGTTTACTTTGAAATTGCTAGAGATGTTTTTTAGCACATTATATTGGTGATTCAGAGGGCAGGTAATTCTGTTCTTGTCTAGTCACATCTGCAGCTTAGGTTGGGAAGAAGACATTTACACCATCCTGCTTCTGCCTATCTCCCCCGTCCCAACACCACCCCAGAGTAGAATATTTCATTCTGATGATCTGGTCAGTGTTTCATTTGGTTGATTTGCAGGCATAAACATATTTGTGGCGTTTAGTGGTTGTATAGCTTTTGTTCTGTTTTGACTTTTGACCTCAAGGATTGATTTTGTGACTCATTCATAGTGTTTATAATAACTAATGTAGAATCTATAAAACCTTTCCCTTTGAGAAGTGTAGGAGGATATGATTCTGATTTTGATTGATTCTGATTGTGATTGTTGGGATTTTGATTTTTAATACAGTATAATAAAACCTAAATTTATTTGGTGAAACTCCTGAAAGCTGCTTTCCTTTTGAGTGAATGAACATATTTTATTCCTCTGTTGCTAAATTTGTCTATTGATAAATTGTGCCAGAAGGCATTGTAAAACATTGGAGCAGCAAAAGGAGTTTGTTTACTCATTTGTACACCCAGGATACTCTTAAGTATGTTACTTTGGTTTTCCTCTAATATCTTAATCTGGTAAGAAACTTTTTGGATGATAGGAATATATGGAGAAGTGAATTAAGATAATAAAGAGTTTCTAATAAAACTATTAAGTAAATTTAGGTATTTTCATTTGTTACTGTTAAAATAGCTGCTATTAATGGAATTACCGTAAAGTACCTGCTTTTACTGTGTGTCTTCTTTGGTGAGTGCAGAATGTGGGAAACCTTATTTCCTGGGCCTAGAAGAAGCTGATTGCCGGTGTGATGGCTTCAGGGCATCATTGTAAATGCCCTTCTCCAGCGCAGTCTGGGAATGTGCTGTTGGGAGACTAAGATGCATATTCGGGTTTTTTCTCTGTGCCCTACCGTGACTTCACTTCGGCAGTTCAGATGGTTTAGGGAAGGGCTTAATTTATTACTGTTAAGTTAAACTCACAGTTTATTACTATTACAGGGACTTGACAGTAATGAGTCAGCTTTTGGATTGAAGCGTAGGCTCGTAGGAATGGCATTTGAAGTCTCCTGGATACCCGTGCCAGACTTTCTCCTTGGGACTCACTACCTTTGTTGCTTTTTGTTTTAATTTTTAATTTTTTTAATTTATTGATTTTTAGAGAAAGAGAGGAATGTGTGCGTGGAGGGGGAGATCCCAGTTTGTTGTTCCACTCATTTATGCGCTCATTGGTTGACTCCTGTGTGTGCCCTGACGGGATTGAACCCGAAACCTGGGCTCATTGGGACAACACTCCAACACTGCACTGAGCTGCCCAGTGCGGGCCTCTTTGTTTCTTTCGTGAAACTGATTTTTGTGTGTGCTGAATGTGGCTCTCTCCTCTTGTGTAAGGAACAACCTTGTATTACCAGCCTGGCCTCCTGTATGGTGGATCCGTGGAACATGACTGTAGCGTCCTTCGCAGCATTGGCTATTACCTGGAGAGTCTTCTTTGCCTGGCTCCATTTATGAAGAACCCGTTAAGAATAGTTCTGCGAGGAGTGACCAATGACCAGGTTGACCCTTCGGTGAGTAGAGAGGCCAAACCATGGTGTGATTTTTGTTTTGTCTCTTGCTACAACGCAACTTCTGAGAAACAAGTTCCTAATAAAGCACAGGTTTATTGTTGAGTGTATTTTTGTTGTTGTTACTTACCTTGAGATTTAGAGATTGATCATTCCAGGATGCAGATGGATGAAGATTCATAATCAATCAAATTGAGTGACGATTGTTACCCTTCATCAAGGTGCCTTTCATTGTGGTGCGTAAGAACCTTCAGAACAGATGCTTGCAGACTCGTCGTGGTTGACAAGAAATAGGCTCTGCCGGCTGGAGTGTGTGAGAGGGGAAGTTTTGGAAGGTCATGTGACAGCAGAGACTGGAAAGTAGCCCAAAATTTTAGACAGAAAATATTATCTTCTTGGTATTGTTGCAGCATAATCTTGATTTATTTGGGCTTCGGTCATAAACTTGAGGGTGTTTTTCATCTGAGAAGAACTTGCAGATTTAGAATAAAGGCATAGGGACACTTTGATAGTTTGTGGGCACCAGCAATCTTACTAAGGAACTTTGATAGTTTGTGGGCATCGGCAATCTTACTAAACAGGCTAATTTTCTGCATGTATGGGGAGGATAGTTAATATTCAGGTGGCATTTTCATTGTGGCCACCACAACTGTCTTAGTGCCAGTGTAGGGTGTGTGTGTGTGCGTGTGTGTGTGTGAGAGAGAAAGAGGTTAGAATAGTCCTGTCCAGACCTGCCTTAGACCTCTCATGGAGTGAGGGGTCCTTACCTTTGGACGCTCTGCTGTCAGAGTAGGGATCTTAATGCCTAGGGCCATGATATGAAGCCCTGACTGAGAACACTTACCTTTACCTCTACCGACAGGGAACTGAGACTGATGAAGGGGCAGTAATATCATAATAACTGTGTATGATGCCAGGTGGGTACTGGAAATATCAGGGGGAACACTTTGTAAGGTATATGATTGTCTAACTGCTATGCCATACACCTGAAACTAATATAAAAAACACCTATAGTTGAATGTAAACTATAATTGAAAAATTTTTTAAATTTACAAAAAATCTGAAAACAGACAAACAAACAATGGAAGGGGTGGCTTCTAAAGCAGAATGTGAAGTGTGTAACTTTTCTAACCGGGGAAGACCAGTTAGGTGGTTCATTAAGCTGCAAAGTGGAGAGTGCTGGTATTCACCAATGCACTTATAAGCGTATAAGCCTAGTTAATGTGTTATTAGGCAGTAAAAGACTTATTTCCCAATTCTTGGGAATTCAGGTACATAAACTCTTTTCCTAGAATCTGAGTACATTGTATGATCTGAAATTCTTAACTGTAAAGAAACGTTGAATAAACTGTTTAGAATTTTAAACTAATTTCAAAGGATTGCCTTTTTCCTGCATTTTTCTGGAAGACCCTGGGAAGTGGGCCCTGAGTTAAAAGTGTGCGTGGGAGGAGGCCTTCGCACGCGTGGACGGGGGCAGGTGCCCTGAGCAGTGGGATGGGCCCGAAGCACACGGCAGACCTTGGCACCGTGTGTCCCAGTTTGTGCTCTTTTTGTAATCGCTGGTGATCTTAAAGGCTGTTAACACTGGCAATATTTAAAAAAGGTTTATATACTAACAAAGATTAGTTGATGAATTCCCCAGAAGTAGTATCTGTACTTAACTCTTTTATGCAGAGTATTATGAAAGAAATCCATTTTCACATGTTACAGGGCTCTCTGCTTTAGCTAGCTGCAAGATTAAAATGACCTTGGGTAGTACTTGGCTCCAACCCAGAATAAAATAAATATACCTAATCTTGGGTAAAAGGTAACTTCTTCAGCTTGTGGTCCCTTCATTTTGAGCTTTCTTTTTAATATGAGGTTTCCCCATCAGTTACTGTCCACATTTACTCTGCACCAGAATGAATGTGATGAGTTCCTCCTTTAGGGAACTCTGTCTCATGGGGTGGGCAGTGTGAACACATCTGGGGAGATTATAAGGCTGAGTACCTCTGGGCTCTAATAGAGGTACCAGCAAAGCACTGAGGATTGAGGAGGGTTTTCTAAAGGAAGGGAAGCCACAGAATCAGTCTGGTTTTGGGAGGAAGAGAACTCTGGAGGCTGAGAGAAGGATGAATTGAAGTGGGCTGCCAGGTAGTTTGAACATAATGGAGATGGAAGTAGAAAGGAAGAGACAGATACGAAGGACTGTGGAGGGGAAACATCATAGTTTGACAGCTAATTGGAGATGGAATAGGAGGGACTGTCCTGGTTGACTTGAAGGCTAGAGATCAGAAAGTTTGACACAGGGAAGAGAGAAACTGGTTGGATGATGGGCGATGTGTTTGGTTTTGGTCCTGTTCCTAGTAGGTTGGGAGGGTATCCACAGGTGGTTGTCCAGTTGGCAGCTGGAAATTACAGTCTAGAGCCTCAGAGATAGGTTGTCAGCATCTTACCCAGGAAGTTAAGTCCTGAGGAAAATGAGATTGACCAGTGCTGAGGTTGAACACTGTCGGCTTTCTGGCTGAACCGACCCTGCCGGTGTTTTTCCTCTGGCCTGCACAGTGTGGTGGTGTGGATATCTGAATTGAATGTTCATGTTTGCAACCCAGACTTTGCATTATAGTGGGTTGATGGAGCAGCACTGGACAGCAGTTCTTCCCCGACAGCCACCAATTGGAGCTGGGTAGCAGCTGCCCTTTTTGGAAGAGGCATGAGCTTCAGTTAGCTGGAGGTCTTGGCTGATCTCATCATTCATTTAAATTCACTTTCTGGCCTGTGTTGAGCATTAGAGTTTTTGCTCCATGATAATCCCAGGGACTGAGAACAGAAGAAGAGGAAATGAATGTTTAAGGTATAAGGAGGGGAAGAGGAGCCATAGACAGTGACTGTGGAGAAAGAAATGTTTGAAGAAGCCAGGGAGGACCCAGGGAGTCAGTGTCTGCAGGAGGTGATTTAGGGGTTGGCAGGGAGATGCAGCCATGAGGCGTTTTACTGACCTTTGAGAGAGCAGTGTCATTGGAGTGTAAGGATAGTCATAGGCTGGGGAATGAGCAGGAAAGAGAACCATGGCAAGTTAGGTGATCCAGAAGGTTAGATAGTGATTCCTGAAGAGCTGAGGTTGGAAATACTTTCTTAGATAAGGAGAGACTTACGCCTGTTGTGGGCTGAGGAGATGCTGTAATTGAGAAGGAAGAATTGAGGAGGGTAGGGGATTTAATGAGGGTGACTCTGGCAGAAATCCAGAGGGGATGGGCACGGAAAGCAGAAGTGGTGTGCTGAGTCACCTCCCCTTTAACTGCCTGTGTGGTGGGCATCAGCAAGGTTATAACATAGCCGTTGAGTGATGTTTTTGGTTTTCTTTGGCTTTGGAGTGCCACAATCTTTAAAGGTAGGGACATTTTCCCCCCTTCCTCATAGACAAAAGGATAGACAATGAGGAGAAATTTTGAGAAGCAAAGTTCCAAGATGTTTCCTTTGAATCTCAGTGGTTTGGCACCAGAGCCCCCTGTAAATGTTTATGGGTGCCAACACCCTGGTCAGGTGGTTAATGAAGATTTCATTCTTTTTTATTCCTGCCCTGGAAGGGGAATAAAGTCTGCTGTGTGCTGGGCCCTGTCCTAGTAGATAAAATGTATCCATATTTTTTCAATTCTTGTACAAACCATGAGGTGGGTGTTCTTGTCCCTGTTTGAGACAAGATAACGGAGAGCGGTTTCTTCCCTTCTATTGCATGGATCTGATGACATTTCTGCCTGTTGGTTGATTGACTGAACTTGTCAGGATGACTGACACCTTTGTCCTGGGGTCAGACTTTCGCTTTTACTCCCTAACACAGAGTGACCGTTCAGTTTCCCTTAACTAGAACTTGCAGCCCACCCCCACTCAGCTAAAACTAGTGTGCAGAGTCGGCGGAGACTGGAACACATGTAGTCCAGCCCCTTGTTTTGCACAGCAGGAAGCCAGGGCCCTGGGGAGAGAGGGAAGTGTGCAGCCTCACAGCTGGTAAGAGGCAGAGTGGGACTCACGCCCGCATGCGCTTTTCCAGCCCTCACCCCACCACACTGAGTTGCCTGCCCTTCAGCTCAGGTGAAGGGTGATTTAGGAGATGGGACCATGCCGGAAGTGATACGCAGGCTTCTGGCTGACCCTCAGAGTAAATCTTGACTTTATCCTATATGACTCCAGGTATAGATAGGATGAGCCAGAAGGACTGTTCTGTTTCTTGCCTTTCTTGTCCCCAGGGGAGCTGGTAGCTGCCTAGTTCCAGGCAATCAGGTAGATAAGAGTAACCCACATCCTGTATCCCCTGGTTTTTCCAGAATCTAGCTTGGCCATCTCCCCAGCTGCTCTAATACTAGCCTAGACTGACTTCTTGGTTCTGGCAATCCCAAGTGCATATGTGCATATGTTTAGTATTTGCGTATGTTTAACTTTAATATGTAGATTGAAATTAGCTAATTTTCAATGAATTTTCCTAGTAACTGCTGCTACGTCTCCTGATCCATTGTCAGTATGTTCCTAGGCTTCATAGGTCATTTCTACCTCAGGTTCATTTTCCGATAGCAGAATATGTAGTTGGGGCCTATTCTCTGCTGTAAAACCTTATTGGAGTATCATTCTGTTCAATCCTGGCATGTTGGGTGGGAGCAGCTTGGAGCCAGACAGTCTGAGACCCTTCCCTTAGAGACAAGGAAATTCAGACAGTTGGGATCTTGTCTGAGGTCACGCTGCTCAGTAGAGGCAGAGGCGGAGCCAGGGCTGGCGCTTCCCCCTGCACCCTGTGCTCTCCCTGCCTGCCCCCACGGCCTCCTGCTAGAGTCAGCTGCAGTGCTGAGGAGCGGCCCTTTGCACTTTGGGAGCAAGTAAGGGAGTAATTTTCTTTCCCATGTTGCAGTTGAGGCAGCATTCATTCACTGATGTGTTAGGTCAGCATGATTTGAATGTCATCCTTATACTCTGAGGATTTCACAAATGAACAAGAAAGGACCCCAGGCCTCCTGTGAGTTTGGAATAGGGAGGAGATAGCAGTAATACTTGGTGTCGTCTTGCCGTTAATTTTGCAGTTGTGAGTCCTGCTTCAAGTAGTTTGAAGTGGCCATTCATTCCCCATTGCCTTCACTTTCTTGTACAGCCACCACCTACCTTTTAACTGCCTGTGTGGTGGGCATCAGCAAGGCTCTTAAGTAGCTGTCACAGATTTTTTTCCCTTTGCCTTTGGACTGCCATAAGCTTTAAAGATTAAACAATCATGCTGGGGAAAGATTAATTCAAAAATCTGATATTTTTTCCAAAGTGTTTTTACCTAAAAGAATGAGCAGAGATCCCAGTTTGTTTTCTGTTTGAGCCCGACAGTTTCTTAAGCTTTTTGTTTGATGCTCACGGTGATGTCTTTGTAAGGTAGGTGTAAGTCTCCATGCTGTACGTGAGGAAAGGGACTTGGAGGAGCTGGTGGCTTATAAAATCTCCGTTTTACTCGGGAGCACAGTCATTCCATGCCCTCAGTTGTAAGCCAGCGTCCTTTCTCTGGACCAGGGCACACATTAGCTGCCTGGTTGCTATGCCTCAGCCTGCTTCATGAGCTCTTTCCCATTTGCTGAAAGTTTAATGAAACTTTTTTTTTAATTCTGAAACAATTCTATAGGTTGATGTTCTTAGGGCAACGGCCCTCCCTCTTCTGAAACAGTTTGGAATTGATGGTGAATCACTTGAGCTAAAGGTAAGAATGTATGAATTGTTACCTGTATACGCGTATATCTGTGTAAACCATTTCCTTACCAGTTCATTGAAAGAGCTGCATGACTGTGTGTGTGTGTGTGAGAGAGAGAGAGGGAGAAGGTGAGGGAGAGGTAGAGAGAAAGAGAAACAGACATTTGAAGTCACCATTTATGAGAAGACCCACAGGACATGAACTAAATATTACAGACTTTGAGCCAAAAGGGGCTTTTAGTAATGACAATAGTAGCTGACAGTTATATTGCACTACCTTTGTGGAAGGCACTGTTGGAGACATTCTGCATATATTTATTCTTTACTCTTCATAACAACACCATTTGTGTCACGCAGCTGATAAGCAGTGGAGCCAGGATTCTAGCCATAATGCCTCTCTAATCTGGATCATCTACATATATGTCCAGAGCCTTCCCACTTGGATGCCCCTGAGAATTTTCAGTATTTTCCAAACCTAGTAGAAGGAATATAAGCATCTATTTATTTGCACTTGGAAGGAATTATATCAGGTTGGTATGATAATACTGGATGTCATAAGCTGTTTAGCATTTCTACTTTTTACAGGGCAAATGACTTTTTTTTTAATACAGTCATTTGCAACACAGTCATGTGTTGCATAATGACATTTCGGCCAAAGACAGACCACATATACAATGGTGGCCCCATAAGGTAATGGCACGAAAAAATACCTATCACTTGGTAACATAGCTGTTGTAACATCATAATGCAACACACTACTCACATATTTATGGTGAGGTTGGTGTAGACAAACCTACTGCACTGCCAGTCATATGAAAGCATAACATATGTGATGATGTATAATATGTATTGCTTGATACTGGTAATAAATGTGTTACTGGTTTATGTGCCTAGAGTATGCTATTTATCATATTTTAGAGTGTATTCTTTCTACTTGGGGAAAAAACTTGGCTATAAACATGCTGTGTTACAGTGGTAGCCGCCTCATATATATTTACCACGTCTCATTTTCTTTTGTGCTTGATTCAGTCTTGTGGGTTTTTTTTCTCATTATGGCCCCTAAGCAAACAAAAATCTACTGTTAATATTGCCAGTAAGAGGCCATGTTGAGTGGTTGACTTGGAAACAAATTAAAAAGTGGTTAAGGACTACACAGGTGGAAAACCAGTAATGGTTGTTGCTTGCCATCAGGCACGTTCCATTCCACCATAGATAGCTATGGTCTTGAAGAGCAAAAACAAAGTCATGGAAGCTGTTAAAGGGTCTGCTTCATTAAAGGCAATGAAACCAACAAAAATTACAGAAGGGCCTCTATCAGGCACGGAGAGACTTCTAATGACCTAGATTCCAGACGTGATGCAGTTGTTTATCCCTCTCAGCACTATGGCACTTGCAGCCAAAGCAAAATGTTTGTGATGTTGAAAGAAGGGGCTGGACTCGATTACAGTGTTAATTTATTGCTCACTCTGGGTGGTTTAAATGATTCAGGAATAGTTATTCATTATAGTGTGAAAGTGAGTGGTGGGTCTGTGAGTGCTGATGTGAAGGGAGCCGAGGAATTTTGGGACATGCTGGATAAGCTGATTGTGGAGGGAAATTACTTGCCAGCACAAATATTCAGTGTGGGTTGAACTTCCCTATTTTGGAAACAGATAAGCCTGAAAGGACTTTGAGTTCATAAGGAGGCCAGGTCAGTGCCAGGCTTTTAAGGACAGGATGACTGTCTTGCTCAGGGGCAATGTTGCAGTTACACACTGAAATACTTAGTAGCTGGCACACAGTGAGGACCCACAGGCCTTTCAGCCTACCAGTAAGTGCCCCTGCCAGTGTAAAGAAGTCCTGCGTGACCCAGCTCTGCTTCCACGATACCTTCCTGAATTACTGTTGTCAGTGCAGTGGGGTAGTACTACTGTTCGGAGAATTATATACTGTTTAAGACGTAATAATTAAGATGTAAGGTGCATGACTGTAATTTAGAGTTCTGATAGATCAATTAATTGCATAGGAGAAAACGGTTAAGAAATGGGATTAACGCATGAACTAGGCCAGTCCCTCATTTTAAGGATGAAGACCCACTTGACTTTGGGGCATGCTGGCTCTGTGCTATTTCTGAGACACTGTAGGGTGTCCTTGCTCATCGTGTGCCCTCTTAGAGCTAACATCAGGTGCTGCTGACCTTGAAAGGATTGCCAAGTTAAATGTGAAAGAGCTGTTTCCCTTCTAAGGAAGAGCCCCTTGGTGTAAACTGTACTGGGTTGGGTGTCTGGGTCAACTACTTTCTGTTGTATCCTTGCCTCTTCTTTCTCACCATGTGTGCAGATTGTGCGACGGGGAATGCCTCCTGGAGGAGGAGGTGAAGTGTTTTTCTCATGTCCTGTAAGGAAGTTCCTGAGGCCCATTCAGCTCACAGATCCAGGAAAAATCAAACGTATCAGAGGAATGGCGTATCCTTTTTGCATTTGGTTCAGATTTCTTATTTTTTTCTTACCTTATGAAGATAAGAGTGACTCATAACAGCTTTACCTCTTCCCAGGGTTATTTGCATTTTAGATAACAATCATGGAAAAGTTTTAGGAGTGAAATTGTAATGGTTGGCTATGATATGATGCTTTATTATCTGCCTTACCTTGACCAGATTGATTGATTCATTTATTTTCTTTCTTCCTTCCCTCCCTCCCACCCTTCCTCTTATCATCTATCTATCTATCTATCTATCTATCTATCTGTCTATCTATCTTAATCTTTACCATTTTCTTTCCTGGTTAACACTTAAATGGCTCCCATATATATGATTCTCTCCTGAGGGCTTTGGTTTGGGGGCCACCCATGCAGTTGCAGCCCCGCCTTCAGAAGAGCTCATCATCTGATGAAGGAAACAAATACGTAAGCACATAGTTCTGATATAATGTGTAAGATGATATAGACACGTGTGCAGTGGGCTGGGGGAGCTAAGAGTAGAGAGTGGTTAATTTTGTCTGGAGGATGTAGGAGGGCTGAAATAATATCTACTGTTCATTAAGTGCTTACTCTGTACTTAAAGGATAATTATTTTATATATTTAGTTTTAAAAAACTACTTTACTGAAGTACAACATGAGTGACATCCAGAAAACTTCATGTTTAATGATACAACTTGATGAAACTTTGGAAATAAGAGTTGGTGAAGAATAATGCCAAAAATATATTCATCGCTTCCAAAAATTTCCTCTCATCTTCTTTAAAGTTTTTTAAATTAATTTATTTTTGATAATGCTTGAGATCTATCCTCTTAGCAAATTTTTAAGTACTGCAGCACACAGTACAGTGTCACTAACCATAGGCATTATGGTCTCAGTGTATAGAAATAAACCAATGTACAATTGGTTTTAGTGTGTTGACTTTGTATCCTGCAACTTTATTGAATTTATTCTAGTAGTTTTTTGTGTGTGTGGAGCCTTTAGGGTTTTCTGTGTATAAAATTATGTCATTTGCAAACAGACAGTTTTACTTCTTCTTTTCAATTTTGATGCCTCTTAATTTCTTTTTCTTTCCTAATTGCTTTGTTGAATAGAAGTAGTGAGGGTAGGCATCTTTTGCCTTGTTTCAGTTCTTAGAGGAAAAGCTTTAGGTTTTTCACCACTAAATGTGGTGTTAGCTGTGTGCTTTTCATGCATGATCTTTACTGTATTGATGTAAGTTCCTTCTATACCTAATTCGCTGAGAATTTTTATCATGAAAGAATGTCGAATTTTGTCAAATGCCTTTTCTGTATCGAGATGATCGTGGTGATTTTTATCCTTCATTCTGTTATGTAGTGTATAACAGTGGTTGTACATGTTGAACCAACCTTGTGTCCCAGAGATAAATCCCGCCTGGTCATGGTATATGATCCTTTTATTCTGCTATTGAATTTGGTTTGCTAGTATTTTGTTGAGGATTGTCACATCCGTATTCATCAGGGGTATTGGTCTGTAGATTTTGTTCTTGAACTAATTTTGTCTGGCTTTGGTGTTAGGCTCATATTGGCCTCATAAAATGAGTTAGGAAGTGCTTCCTCCTCAGCTTTTGGAGGTTTAAGATTAGCTATTTGGTGGAATTTGCCAATGAAGCCATCTGGTCCTGTGCAATTTTTTGTTGTTGGGAGGTTTTTGATTACTGTTTCAGTCTGGCACATGTTATTTGGTCTGTGCAAGCTTTCTATTCTCAATAAACTTGGTAATAGGTTTTATGTTTCTAGGAACTTACTCATTTCTCTAGGTTGTTTAATTTGTTGGTGTAAAATTATTTGTAATAATCTCTTATGATCTGTTTTCATCTCTGTGGCATCAGTTGTAATGTCTCTGCTTTCTGAGTTTTACTTACTTGTGTCTTCTTTCTCAGTCTAGCTAAGGATTGGTTGATTTTTATCTTTTTATGAGACCAACTCGTAGTTATGTCAGTTTTTAGAGTCTTCTGTTTTCTATTTCATTTATTTCTGATTTAATCTTTATTATTTCTTTCCTTCTGCAATTTTGAGTTTAGTTCTTTTTCTATTTCCTTGGGGGTGTAAAGTTAGGTCTTCTGAGATCTTTTTGTAGAAAGCATGTAGATGTTTATCGCTCTGAACTTCCCTTAGTACTGAATTTGCTGCATCCCATAAGTTCTGGTATGTTGTGTTTTTATTTTCATTTGCCTTTAGATATTTTCTAATTTCCCTTTTGATTTCTTCTTTGACACAGTGTTTGTTCAGTAGTGTGTTGTTTCATTTCCATATATATTTTAAGTATATTTTATTGATTATGCTATTACAGTTTCCCCAATTTCCCCTCTTTATTCCCCTCTGCCCTGTAACCCCCAACCCTCCAGCATTCCCCCCCCCTTAGTTCATGTTCATGGGTTATACATATAGGTTCTTTGACTTCTCTTTTTCCTGTACCATTCTTAACCTCTCCTCATCTATTTTATGCTTACCAATTATGCTTCTTATTCCCTGTACCTTCCCCCCCATTCTCCCTTCCCTCTCCCCTCTGAAAACCTTCCATGTGATCTCCATTTCTATGAATCTGTTCCTGTTCTAGTGGTTTGCTTAGTATTTGTTTTTGGGTTGTTTGTTTATTTATTTGTTTTTTAGGTTTAGTTGTTGATAGTTTTGAGTTTGATGTCATTTTACTGTTCATAGTTTCTGTACTTCTTCAATTTCTTAGATAAGTCCCTTTAACATTTCATATAATAAGGGCTTGGTGATGATGAATTCCTTTAACTTGACCTTATCTGAGAAGCACTTTATCTGTCCTTCCATTCTAAATGAAAGCTTTGCTGGATAGAGTAATCTTGGATGTAGGTCCTTGCCTTTAATACCTCTTTCCAGCCCCTTCTTGCCTGTCAGGTTTCTCTTGAGAAATCAGCTGATAGTCTTATGGGCACTCCTTTGTAGGTAACTTTTTCCTTTCCTCTTGTTGCTTTTAAGATTCTCTTCTTGTCTTCAATCTTGAGTGACTTAATGATGTGTCTTGGTGTGTTCCTCCTTGGGTCCAACTTCTTTGGGACTCTCTGAGCTTCCTGGACTTCCTAGAAGTCTGTTTCCTTTGCTAGATTGGGGAAGTTTTCCTTCATTATTTGTTCAAATAAGTTTTCAATTTCTTGCTGTTGTTGTTCTCCTCCTCACACCCCTATAATTTAGATATTGGAACATTTAAAGTTGTCCAGAGGTTCCTAAGTGTCTCTTCATTTTTTTGAATTCTTGTTTTCTTCATTCTGTTCCAGTTGGATGTTTATTTCTTCCTTTTGTTCCAAATTGTTGATCTGAGTCCTGATTTCCTTCCTGTCACTGTTGGTTCCCTGAATATTTTGCTTTATTTCACTTTGGGTAGTCTTAATTTTTTCTTTCATTTTTCCTTTCATTTTTCAACCAAGCTCAATCAGTTCTGTGAGCATCTTGATTACCAATGTTTTGAATTCCACATCAGCTCATTGCTTAGCTCCTCATTGCTGTTTCTCTGGAGTTTTGCTCTGTTCTTTCATTTGGGCTATATTTCTTTGTCTCTGCGCACCTGTTAAGTTGTAAGGGGGCAGGCAACCGTCTTTGCTGCATTGTGGTGCTGTCTATGGGGGAGGAGTCAGAAAGGGAATCATGAAGCTGGCTTGCTGGGCTCTAGCCCCACTTTCCAATGAACTCTCATGTGAGACTGGGAGTTTTTCCCACTGTGGCAACCACTGCGATAGTCCAGTCAGTTCTGAGTCTCAGTTTCCCATTCAGCTAGCCCTGCCTGTGCAGTACACCCCCTTGCTCCAGATTCTCTCCGTCCGCCCGTCTCCCTCGCACTAGTCTGGTTGACTGTTTCTTTAATTTCTTGGTTGTCAGAGTTCCATGCAGTTTGATTTTCTGGGACTTCTGGCTGTTTATTGTTTTTAGATTGGTTGTTAGCCTCCTTTTGGTTGTGTGAGAAAGTGAAGGGTTTCTACCTATGCCTCCATTTTGGCCAGAACTCTCTCATTTCCATGTATTTGTGGACTTTCCTGTTTTCTTTCTGCTATTGATATCTAGTTTTATTCCATTGTGGTTGGAAAAGATACTTGGAGTGATTTCAATCTTAAGTTTGTTAAGATTGTTTTATGACCTAGCATGTGACCTTAGAAAATATTCTGTGTGTATTTGAGAAGAATGTATGTTCTACTACTACCAGGTGGAATTTTCTGTATGTCTTTTAGGTCCATTCTGTGTATGTCTGTTGGTCTGTTGTTTACTTAATGATTTTCATTCTGGGTGTTCTTAGATCCATTATTAAAGTGGGGTATTGAGGTCTCCAACTACTATTGTATTGCAATTTCTCCCTTCAGATCTGGCAGTGCTTGCTTTATATGTTTTAGGTGCTCAGATGTTGAGTATGCACGTATTTATCATCCGTATATCTTCCTGTTGAATTGATCCTTTTATCACTATATAATGATCTCTTTGTCTCTTGTGACTTTAAGGTCATTTTTGAATTAAAGTCTGTTTTGTTTGATGTATTTTGTCTCTTCTCTTTGGTTACCATTTGTGTGGAATATCTTTTTCTCTCCCTTTACTTTTAGTCTATACGTATTCTTAAATCTAAAGTGAGTCTTTTATAAACGGAATGCAGTAGGATCTTGTTGTTTTATCCATTCAGCTACTCTTTGTCTTTTGATTGGGAACTTTAATGTATTTATATTTTATATGCTTTATTTTTAAGCCTCAAAGTTACTGAATTTACTTATATCCTATTTTGTAGATAAGAAACTGGTGCTTAAAAAGCTTAAGGAATTTGCTTCCAAGTCATACTGTTCATAATGGCAGAGCTAGGGTTTGAACCCCATCTGTCTGACTCTGCAGCCCCGACTTTTCACCTCTGCTTTTTCCTATAGAAAAGATAGGACATTTGGACTGAGCCTTGAAGAATAGAGACTTATAAAGTGGAGCAAGGAAGGAAAAGCACTTCAGGCAGAAAAGTGGGACTGTGTAGAGGTGACAAATGTACAGTGGCTCTGGGGAGTGGCGAGTGGTGTGGTGTGGCCCAAGTGCAGGTCAGCTGTGGTGTTTGGCAGTAGAAGAAGGGACATGAAGATGGCCAGGACCAGTGAAAGTTGAAGCGTTATTCTTCATTCCAAAGTTAGCAGTTTTCTTCTATAGAATGAATTTGTATATTATGAGGACAACCCTGGTGGTACTGAAAGAACTTTTGGCTCATTGTACACCTTTTGGAAGGCACAAGTTTTCTAAAAATCAGCTGGTAATGACCACTTACAGGCAAAGATGACAGGGAATTATGTTGCTCTAAAGAAGGGACAGTAAAGGTAGTGGCTGGAGGACAGGTGAGGCCTGCTAGTTTATAGGATCCTAGAAGTGGAATGAATAGGACACAGTGATTATCTGTGTCTATAATAGAGGAACAGGGAATTGTGAGGACAATTTTGATGTTTCTCACTTAGGCACATGGGTAGAGAGGTTTGTTCTTATAGTAGTCACAAATGTGTGGGGTAATACGTGGCAGAGAGTGGGGAAGTAAAGATAAGTTTAGTTTTAATTCATGTTGGGTTTGAGGGTCTTTTAAGATGGTTACAGGGAGACAAACCTAGAAAGGAAATTAGAAATGTAGATCTGTAACTTGGGGGCTGGGTGAGGACTAGAAATAAACACTTTAGAGTCAGCTGCCCTGTGGAACAGGAAGAGGGGAGGACGGAACCCTGGGAGGCCACTAAGACTTGACAGCAGAAGCAAAGTAAGTGCTCCCAGAAAGGGAGACTATGGAAAGTCAGAGTTGAGAGGACAACAAAGAAAATGCAGCTTTTGGAAGCCCAGGTCAGCACCTAAAAGAGCATTAAGATGCACGGAAGTGCATCTTTTCCCCTTCCGATCAACTTGCCAGGGCCTGGGAGGGGGCTGGTGTTTGTTCCTGCCAGCAGCTGTCACTGGATGGTGCAGTTACCATTTATTTAATGCCACCCATTCTCATTCTCCCCTTGCCCGACGGGGAGAGACAGAAGAGAACAGTCCATTTCAGTTTTCTAGTGTTGTCCTGCCAGCTCATGATCTGGTACATAAGAGTTAAGTGAGTATATGAGGGTAGAGGCAGAAGAAGGGCGTGGGGTGGAATTTGTGGGACAGTCTGGTTTCCTTTTTCTGACTATAGGGAAGGTACTTAGAGAACCAATCTCTCCCTCTTCCTTCTGCCCCAAACGCCCACATGCTTGCACACAAGCACGCACACACCTTGGGTTTCTCTGACCTGCAAGCCGTATGGACTATTGGTATGGACTTGTCTCTTGGATATGAATTCTTAGTATGGCCTTCATGAATGAGCTTCAGGACGTTGATAACCCTCAAATTACCTGTAATGATGTGTGCTCGTGTATTTCTTGAGAGACTGTCATAGCTTTCATCAGGTTCTCAGAGGGGTCTCTGATTCCTGAAAGGATAAGAACCTCTGCTTTGGGATTTGAATCTTGGACTAACAGTAAGAAAAGCAGTAGCTGACATTTATTGGGCTCTGACCATGTACCAGGCACCACTGACTGCTTTGCATGCATTATTTCATGTGAGTCTCCAAACCCTGCAGGGAGAGTGTTATGATTATCCTTTTCTTACTGAGGAGGGAATGGATGCACAGAGAGTAGCACATCAGACCCGGTGTGATGCGGTTTGCTGGAGCCGGGACTTCAGTACAGTCTGATTGTAGAACTCTTTGGTTGTCCCTTGGTAGGGCCTCCAGGCCAAGCCAGGTAGCCCCATAGTGACTCTGGGATATAGCCAGTTTAAAACTCCTTTCCCTCTTCACTGACCCTGAATGGGCACCATCTCCTTCCTGGTTTCCATAGCTCTGGAGGGGTAGGGGAAGAGGTTGTCTTTGGGAAGTGGATCTGTTTGATTTTGAACCTTAGTTCTGTGACCCACTTGTCCTCAGTGTAAGCCCTGGAACTGGGGATCCTTAGCCTTTGACAAAGGGTTACCTTGAACGTAAAATAAGTTGATAATGTACCTAAAATAACTTTAGGAACCACGGACACTGTGGGATTATGTGTCAGGGTAGTGACATCTGTGCTCTCCTAGGGAGAGTGAGCAGCCTCAGGCCTCGGAAGGGCAGCACCTACCTGGTCCAAAGGCTGTGAGACCTGGGACTGTTTGTCTTAGCTGCCTGTGGTCAAAAGTACATTCTGGACAGCAGAGGTGGTGATGTAACTGGGTTCTGTGTGTGTATTGAAAAATCCCTCTTTGCTCTTTCCTCATTTCAGGTTTGCTCTTTGAGTCAAGTCAAATATTTATCACATATTTCTGAGTACAAAAGTAGTGTATTAGAGAGTTGTGAGGGATGCAGCAGCAGAGCCCCTTTCCGCATAGAGTGTGCAGTCTTGTTGACGAGGAAGAACATGTGCGTACATGAAGGGAGGCGTGTGGTAAGTCTAAGTGCAGACCACAGTTGGGTGCTGCCCGGGGGGTTTCAGAAGAGAGGGAACTCTGGACTTGGAGAATGAAGGAAGGCAGTTCAGGATGAAGAATCTGGAGAAGTGGGATGGGTGGACAGTGTGCTGTTACTGGGTTGGGGAGAAACACTGAGCAAGGCAGAGGATCTGACAGCAAGAAATGGGAGGGTCCAGGTCCAGAGTTACTGGCAGACTCTGACTAGCTTGAGGAAGATTATCTTTGAGTGGAATGTGCAGGATGGGTCAGAAAGGGAAGCTTGATGCTAGTCAATTTTTCATACAGACTCAGAGCATTATGTTTTGCAGCTCAAATGAAAATTTAGTGTGTTGTTGGTAGTAGTTTTTGAAGAGCTGAGCTGAAATGGGCAGACCACCACACACCTGGTTTTCCCTGTTGGACTTGCCACATGAGGTCTCTGTAAGGGGAGTGGGAAGATCATGTGTTATTACTTCTCCATTCCTTCAGCCCCTCGTCCCGCATGTGCAGCTAGCTTATGGCCATGCATTGCACATTGAAAGTACTCAGTACATACTTAGTTTTTATTTGACTCATGGGGCTGGGGAGAGCCAGTCTCTGTTTCTACTTCCTCAAGCACCAGCCTTTTTATTTGAGTTGCTAACATCTTCCTCCTTTCCTTTCTGGTGGTGCCCTGTTATAAAAGTCTGGTTACCAGTATTGTGACCATAAAGTAGCTGTTGTGAGGAGTCTGAACCATCCACAAATGGAGTGAGTGATACTTAAATAATTGAAAATAGGCTCTGCAAGTTAACAAAGAAAAAACCTGTTTACACCTTTGTATACAGCAGCTACCATGCTCTTTCTATATTTTTTTTCTGGAGGAGGTGGGTTGTGCATCCCCAGTGCGGAATCTGTTCTGGTCTGAGGTTCTAAGAGAAAGACTCGGTGGTGGCAGCTGTGGGAATGATCAGGGAATACTTCAAAGGGAGCTTGGCTCACACCCTACCAAGAGGCGGTTGCCTTCATTTGTTCCAGAATTGAGTTGATCATCTGTAAGGGTGGGGGTGCGGGTAGGAAGTCTAGATCAGGGTTGGGAGGTTTTACTTTCCAACTTATGTTTGGCTTTCTCACCACGAATATAGTATAAAAATTATGTATAAATAAAAATAATAATATAAAAACTGATGATGGTACTATACAGTTAAGTAATGAACTACCGTTAGAAAATCAAATGCAGTCCGATGTTATTGCAGGTTCACAAATATTTGCTAGCTTTATAATTGATTTTTCTGTGTTCTGAAGTCCAAGTAGAATGATGACCTTAACTCCAGGTTGTAGGTACTCCGTACGTGTATCACCTCAGATGGCGAACCGGATTGTGGATTCTGCGAGGAGCATCCTCAACAAGTTTATACCTGATATCTACATTTACACAGACCACGTGAAGGGAATCAACTCTGGGAAGTACGTGTGCGTTTTTGGGGCCTGATGCCATAGCTACCCAGCCTTTTTCACGCTCCTGTTCTGATTGAGGTTAAAGCTGTCAGCTCTGAGGTTGGGCAGCCAGAAGAAGAATAATTTCAGGTTTAATTTCCTTCTGACTTAACTGCCAAAGTCACCAGTAACTCCTGTCGCATGGAAGGCACCTCAGTGGCCAGTGCTGAGAGATGAGGGGTCCAGTCCCTAGCCTAGGACCCCTAGGCTATTTATAAACAGTGCTTTAAGCTTTAAATCCCATCTGCTCTCTAATCCCACAAAAAGTTAAACAAGTTCTTCCGTCCTGTGTAAATAACAGTTTAAGGGGGTAAAAAACCCTTTGTTGGACTAAGTGCCAGTTAGATTCTCTTTCCACCAAGGGAACACCCCTAGAGCCAGAGAAAGCTGTTATTGCAATTCGAATTTCATTTAGTTAAAGCCTTTGCGGAAAACCTCAGTTTAGAAAATAAAAAGTTAATGATAATCTGTGTAATGAAAGTGTCTGTTTTAGGCTTTCGTTGTATATTTAGAAGCCAGTAGGTTAGGGAAGCAGTTAAAACCAGTATTTGCCCTGGCTGGTGTGGCTCAGTTGGTTGGACCGTTGGACTATTGTCCCGTAACCAAAAAGCTGCGGGTTCAATCCCCATCCCGGGCATGTACAGAAGGCAACCAATTGATGTTTCTCTCCCTTCCTCTCTTAAAATTTTTTTCTTTTTACTCTAAAAATGATAAACATAAAGAAAAGTTGACCTGAAACTAATATAAAATAATATCAACTATAACTATAATTGAAAAATAAAATAAAATAAAAATTGAAAGGATGGTATAGTGAGCACCCATATATTCCTGCTACCTGTAGTTAACAGTGAGTATTTTGCTAAATTTGCTTTACCTATGTGGGTTTGTTTGTTTTTGCTGAAACATTTCAGTGTGAATAATAATATTATTGTACTTTGAACGTCTCCTAAAAATAAGAATATCAGAGTCTAAGATTGACAGTGGTGTGTTAAGAAATCAGTTTTTTTCTAAGTGGTGCTACAGCTAACCTTTTTCATAGATGTTCTATTTGAGATTTGTTTTAACTTCAGCAAAAGAAGGAAAGGGAGCGTGAAGAGGGGGTAAGGGTGTCACGGGATCTCTGGCCTTCCTGAGGCCTCAGGGAAAGATCAAGGTGATTTCAGAAACACGATAGTGGCTTGTAGTCCAGTGACAGAGGTGCTCGTACCAGAGGTTAGAGTTGGGAAAGGGTTTGTGCGCAAAGCTGGCTCTTTGGGGGTGGGTCAGAAAGGTCAGTGATGGTCCCAAACCTTTGGGTATTGCTCAAATGTCACCAGTGCTGTCCTTGTTCATGCCATGAGTGTGATACTGCTTGCATTTCTAGGTAACTGTGAAGGTGAAAGGTGACATACGCCAACCAGTAAGGCAGTGCCTGGCACATAATAGGTGCAACAGAAATGGTAGCTGCTAAGGCTGTTCTTCCCTTTCTCTTCTCTTCTTGGCCACAGGTCTGGAGTCACTGTCAGCAGTTCTCAGGGGAGAGGGGATTACAGAGGGTGTGGGCGGATCAACAGCCGGGGCAGCTGTCGCATGGCCTGATCTGGATAGAGCCTTTTCTGTCTGGCCTCTTCACCAAAGGGTGGCTAGGGGTGAAGCAGAGCAGGCTTGAAGGCCACACTGCCACCAGCAATAGTGCAGCTTTTCGTAGTGACTGCTTAGCTGACCCGTTTGTGGTCACACTATAGGAAGCTCACGTGGATCAAGATGAAGCTGTATGTAGACTTGGGGGTCATCAACTCCAAGCTCCCCTTAGAAAATTAAAACCAATGCATGATAAGGTTGTTTAATTTTCTAAATCTTAAGTTACCGATGACATAGTGATCTTCCTTCTCTGTTATGAAATTGTAAAGTCATGAGTGGTTATTAATCTCTTCTGAACCGGTGAAGTATCTATGTCAGTTAGGCTTATGAAATCCAGGCGTGAGAGTGTATGTTACGGGCACGGCCCAGAACCTTGGGGCCGGCAGTTGCTGGTGGCCTGTGTCAGTGCTTCGACCAGTGTGCACATCTGTCAGCTGTGGACTTGGTACAGGTTGCTTAATTTCTCCAATTTCTCGTTTGTAAAATGGGCACTACTATCTGTTCTGCAGGTTTGTAGTGTCAAAGCCCCCAGCTCAGAAAGGGGCAGAAACTAGTGCTCATTTTCCAGTATCCCCAGTGTGGAGGGAGGAGGAGGGGGTGGGGGCGGGAGGGCTGACAGGAAAAGCAATGCAAACTTGGGTCCTCCTTGGTTCTGCCGCGTGTGCTTTCACGACGTCGTGTATATTTCCTGTGTAAGCTGGTAGGAACTCTGATAAGGCTTGATGAAACAAACCAGAATGCCATCAGAAAGGTGTTCGCGTTTTCTTTCCTTTTGCTGGTGAATGTGAACCCCGCTTCATTAACTCTACTCAGTGTCTGTGCCTTTGAATTCCCAGGTCTCCAGGCTTCGGGCTGTCACTGGTTGCTGAGACCACCAATAGCACCTTCCTCAGTGCTGAACTGGCCTCCAACCCCCAGGGCCAGGGAGCAGCAGTGCTTCCCGAGGACCTGGGCAGGAACTGTGCCAAGCTGCTGCTTGAAGAAATCTATAGGGTATGTCTTCAGCCTCTGCTGGCTGGGGAGAGGGGCCACCAGGAAGCAGCTCACTGCCTCTCATTTTTAATCCTAAGCAACTGTCTTCCTTTCCAAGGGCTTAAGCCAAGGAGTTAAACTCTTCTTACCCATTTAAAAACAGTTTAACATGACTAGCTTAATAGATTAGCTAAACTAATCAGTGAGCAGAGATCCAGCCTCTCCTGGTTTACAGGACAGGTAAGCTTGAACAGTTGGGAGAGGAAAGATCTGGAACAGTGATACACAGGAAGGAGAAGGTAAAAAAAAATGAAGGTGGTTAGGTGGTGACTGGCCACTTGAAGAGAATGCATGGCCAGGAGCAAAGCAGGTGCTCTCAACTTCCCCAGTCGTTGCCACGTGAGGGTGCGGACTCCTTGTTTTCAGGTGTTTCATGAGAAGTGGGAAATTTGGATTTGTATGTGACAGTTGATTCAGATAGAAAATAGTGTCAACAGGGTAGAATTTGCAGTGTGTTCTAGAACAGGGGTCCCCAACCCCTGGGCCACAGACCGGTACCAGTCCCTGGCCTCTTAGGAACAGGGCCACACAGCAGGTGGTGAGCGGTGGGCAGGTGAGCGAGTGAAGCTTCACTTGTATTATCTCCCGAGCTTCGCCACCTGTCCTCCACCCTTACCCAGTCTGTGGAAAAATTGTCTTCCGTGAAACTGGTCCCTGGTGCCAAAAAGGTTGGGGACTGCTGTTTTAGAACATGGAAGAATGTTTAGGGAAGGCAGGCCTGTGTCAGAGCATGGCAGGGGCTTTGGAAAGATGAGAACACAGGAAAGAGAAGGGACATGAAGCCGAAGGTGAGACTTCATTGATTGCCATTTGCTTCTGTGGATGGGCCATGGCTCAGACCAGCCTGGACCAACCTGTCCTGTAAGTTGCCACAGTTTTTTCTCTGTCGATTTATATAAGCAACATACACATAGGCATATGAAGGGGGACCCCCCAAAAAGCTGGAATTATCTTCTGGGAGCTGGGCCCCTTGTAGTACAGGCTTCCCCCAGTAGGTGAGTGTTTCAGGAACCCATCTGTATCAGTGTGCCAGCTGGCGTTGTTGTGAGAGGCTGTGTTTGGCTTCAGTAAATTTTATTTTGAAGAGTCTTTTGACGCTTTTGCCTATTTCATGATGGGTGATCTGTGAGCATATCTGTCTACACTGCACTGAATGTTTAGCAGTTTTTGACCCAAAACAGCATGACCCCTGGGCCCTACCTTCCCTATTTACCCCATCTTGTCCCAAGGGACTTTTTTGTTTCTCCGGATGAAAAAAGTCCTCAAAGGGAAACATTTTGCCAGTGTGGAAGAGGTGAAACAAAAAGCAGCCGAAGCACTAAAAGGTATCAAAATGGACAAGTTCAAAAACTGTTTTGACCGGTGGAAAAATGTCTCAATAGGTATATTGCATCAAATGGAGAGTACTTTGAAGGTGACTGAAGTTTAAACATGTAAAAATAAAGAATTTTTAAATAAATAAGTTTTTTAGTTTTTTGGGTTCCCTCTCGTACATGCACTTTTACTCTGCTTCCCAAAATGAGTCGAGGTGACCTGAAGTAAGGAAATTGGGAGGGAAGCAAAGATGATGGCCGGGAAAATAAGATAAAGCTGCCTGAAAACACATTCTCTAAATCCTATAGGCTTGGCTGGAAGAAAGTCCCCAGTCTGTTTCCAGGACGCTGGTTGTGTTGTCTTTTGCCTTGGATCCGTGTTGGGAAGGTGAAGCCGTTTCCTTGACACGCAGAATCCAGGGCAGACTCCCAGGGACGGTCATTTCTCCGCTGTGTGTGTGAGGCCTGCAGTCTTGAGCTGAGCACTAGCAAGAACTATACTCTGTGTGATTTGCTTTTGTGTGGTGTACAATGTTTGTGAATTGTTTTTTTTATTCAGCTGAAGAGTTTTCATCTCTGTATTTCTGTGTGTTTATTCTCAGCTAGTAGACATCTCTGTGGTTTTTTTCCTGAGGTCTCCAAGGAATCTTTGCCCCCTTTAGTAGCAAAAATCATATGTGATCTCAGTGAAATAAAATGAGTAAGGCAGGGGTACAGTGGTGGTTTTATTTTATTTTTTAATTTTTTTAAAAATATATTTTTTATTTATTTTTAGAGAGGGAAGGGAGGGAGATAGAGAGAGAGAGAAACATCAATGTGCAGTTGCTGGGGGTTATGGCCTGCAACCCAGGAATGTACCGTGGCTGGGAATTGAACCTGGGACACTTTGGTTCCCAGCCCGCGCTCAGTCCACTGAGCTACACCAGCCAGGACCTGATTTTATTTTTTAATTCTTTCTGTCACTGTGGTTTATTCATCACTGCGGTGGAGTGAGGCCTGGTTTGGCTCATGGGTATTGATCCCTGCGCTGGCCTCACGAAGGAAAGCAGCTTGTAGCCACAGCGCTGTCCCCATTAGTCACTGTTCTTAGTAGTACCTCTCCTTGGTTGCATGGTGGAAGAAGTAAGAGTAAACTGCTTCAGAGTTCATGAAAATATCCAGGTCTTAAAGGTGTTTTTTTAATGTTCCCCTAATTAAACTGGAAGACAAAGAACCTACAATTGTGTCTTCAGTATTGTGACTCTATTCCCTCTGCTCACCATTCAGCCAGCAGATAGTGGCAGAAAGAAGTATCCTATCAAATGAAATCCTCCTGAAGGGGAACAATCTTCTTACAATTTTTGTGTAGCCAAGGTCTTGGTGTTAGCTTTTTTGATGCTAAATCAGCTCAATGTTTGATGCTTAATTTAGTGATTTTTTTTTAAAGGTGGGTAATAACCAGAAATTGAAAGTAAATAAACGATCAAGAGGTTGTCATGTCATCTAGGAAGTTTGTCATCTGGATGTCTTTGAAGACAGGCTGTGCGTGTGATGCCTGTGTCCCTGAGCCCCTGGTGACCTGTTCAGGTTCCCATCCGTGGTGGCTGGAGGCCCCCTTTCTGACCCTGGGGACCCTTCCATGTCGTTCCAGCAGAGCTGGGGGAACCGGAAGCACCACATCACAGAGCAGCCCCACTGGAGTGTGGGGTTTTATCCCGTAAATAGCACATTATAGGCCTCAGGGTGGAAACACAAGCTACACGTTCACAAGAGAGAAAGCATGCAGTCTGGATTAGGTTATTTTATTTTGTTTTTTCTCTTTACTCTAGTTAACTTCTATATAAAAACCATTTTATTGTGCCTGCACCAAGTTTCCTTTTTTAAATCATTAAGAAAACTTCCTTATTGTTTGTCTGTGGTCTTCATTTGTTAAAAGGATGAAAATGCTTCATGTTTTTGTGAGTAATTTATAGGCCCTTGTTGTGACATGGTTTCAATAAGTAATAAAAACTTATCCCCTTGGAAGGCGCTGTTTATTTTTATCAGTTTTAATCCTCTGTTCTAATCCCTCCTGGTCTATTTGTGTCTCATCATTACCAAGTCCTCTTGATTCTGTCCCAGGCTCTCTGGAACTGCCTTTCCTATCCATCTTTGCTGCTTCCATCTCCTACCATTGCGTGGGTTGGCTCTGCCCACTTGCTGAGGGGAAGTCCTTTCTACATCTGCTCCAACATCCCCTTCGTTTCTGAATCTCCTAAAACACTTACTTGATCTTTTCACTCCTGTGCTCAAAAGACCTTGAGTAGCTTCTCACTTTCCAGAGATAGATCAGAACCCTTGCTAGACTCAGAAAAGCCCTCAGTGTGTCCACTGTACCTTCTTCCCCCTCACATACTTCTCCCCTGCAGGTAGTAGCATACAGCCCTTTCAGGCTGGCCTCCTCGTGGTTCCTTGCTGGCCCTAGATCCTATTTCCCTCACGCTCCTGCTTTTCCTTCTTCTCCAAACCTCTTCCCTCCAGGGTCAGTTCAAGTCCCCACCTCCCCAACGCCTTACCCTGGTGCGGTGAGTGACAGCCCCTCCCGGCTCCCCTTGGCCGTCCGGTGTCCACAGCCCTCAGTGGCTGCAGAGCTTTGGCTTCACCTCAGATTGTTTCTGCTTCCTGCTTGTATTTCATCTTTTAGCCAGACTGAAGCCACATTCAGTGAGATTGAAGCCAGTGAGATTCAGCCCACAAGGGTTGTATCCTCTGCTGAGGGGTGACCCCACCACGCCCTCCATGGTATCCTGTACACAGAGCCCCCAAAGTATTTATTGTGCAAAATGCTGGTCTAGCACATAGTCAAAATTGATACAAGTCGGTTGAGAATGATGGAATAGCAGCGTAGTGATAGGAAGCAGAAGTCGAAGAGGACAGCTTAATTTTAGACCGCCTTACTGGGTTGGCCCAAAAGTACATTTAGTTTTTTCTGTAAAATAAGATTCATTTTGCATTTGCACCAGTAACTTTATTGATTTGGATATTTTGAGTATGTCAGCTGTCCCCATGTGGTATGATGTTGGATATTCTCAGTTAATGTCTTGATTTGATTGCTCTCAACTTCGGCTGGTCTGCCCAATCATGGAGCATTGTCCAGCGAGAAACCTCCAGCACCAAACTTTACAAACCACTTCTGACGCATTCGATCTGTCACAGCACCTTCTCCATACACTGCACAAATCTTTTCTTGCGTTTTAGTTGTGTTTTCACCTTTATTGAAATAATAGAGCATAATATGCCAAAAATGTTGCATATTTTCTTCCATCTTCAATATTAAAATGGCTGCACAAAAATTCACCAATTAAAAACACGTACCAATATGACAGCTGTCACGATACAATCTAACAAAATTGTTCTGAATGAAAAAGTTAAAGATAACTAAGCGCTACTAGAGCCATCTTACAAAAACCGAACAATCTTTTTAGCCAACCCAAGTGAAAAGCAACAAGTTTTATAAAACACTTTTGTTGGTCCTCATATTTTCTATTGGTCACACTTTCTTTTTTGGATGGAAATATGTATGCTATACTTGCTCTTGTCCTAACATTTGCTTAGTGGGGGTAAATACCATTTAAGGGTGTTTAATACCCTTTAAGGGTGTTTTAAAATACCCTTTAAAGGGTAGGGTATTAAATACCCTTTAAATACCCTTTAAGTGTAGGGAGAGCAATAGATTTTCTTAAAGGCTAGCTGTAGGATAAAGCCACTTTATTTTCCTACGCCATTGTCATAAATGAAGTCTGACAGCAAAGAGTGAGTGTCTGTGCCTGAGAATCGATTTATTCCCTACACTACAGGCATTTAAAAAGGAGAGAGGTGTGTGCCGCAGTGAGTGGCCACCTGTTCTGCTTCTAGTCTGGGACTCGAGGCTTGGCCAGTGATGTGCCATCATCAGAAACTGGGTTCTTTTTGTGACATGTACAAAATGTGTAGAAATTCAAGGTCATCCTACTTTCACTGTGTACAGTGTAAGTTTGAATTGTTTTAAGTAAAGTTTTCCCAGAAAGAATGATCAGAAAGGAAGACATTTTTAAGGCACGCATGTAAACAGTAGTAATGCATACATCTAGTAGAAGCAGAATAGCTAAAATGGTTGGGAAATTAAAAAATGAAAGAAAGGCAACCAAAACGTTTCTCAGGAGAAAGTTCGTGAGAATTCTGTTCTGCTTATTGGTTTGAAAGAAAAGGAATGAACAGTGGGGAAAATAGTGCATAAGTAATAAGAATGGATGGAGCCAATCTTAATAGTTCTTCAGTTTTAAGGCACACAGAAAGGGTAGAGAGGAGGAACTAATGTAACTTGGCGAGCAGTTTTTGAATGTGACTAAGTCTTACAGGTAAAGGTCCTTTCATGTCACATTGACTGTGGTGTTCCACAAAAGTAAATAACTACAAGTGCGTTCACTTTGCCCTCATTAGTTACCTATACATTTCCGAGAAACTGATTTTGCTGTTTTGTTTGTATGTCCTACTGCTGCTTTAATTAGAAGGGAAAGTTTTGCTTTTCTCTAGATGCACCTCTGTAAACTCAGTGTCTCTATTTATTCTGATAGTCTCAGCTAATACAGTTGTTTCAATTAACTATTAGTTTAACCCCCACAGTTAAGTGATATAGGAATGACTCTTAAAAGACTCGTATTCTGTTTTATAATTGCTTAAAGTTTGCAGTTTGCTCTTCTGTGGTTCTGATATCCTTGGTATTTGTGGCTGTTTTCTTGTTTTTCCATTTTCTGGTTGGTGTAACGATTAATCTTTAAAGTGTTTGTATTTATAGGGTGGATGTGTGGACTCGACCAACCAGAGCCTGGCTCTATTGTTTATGACCCTGGGACAACAGGATGTCTCCAAAGTCCTGCTCGGACCACTCTCTCCCTACACGTGAGTTGTTTTCTTTCAGCCTCGTTATGCTGAAATTCCAATGGCATGAAATGACAGAGGTGTTGTACTGTGCACAGCTTATCAGTGTGAACACCTGCCTGTTCGGATCCTTGAATAAGCCAGAGGTTGTCGCTCTTAACCTGGTGTTTAACAAGATTCTTGCCTTTCTCCCCCTCCTGTAGTTTCATCATTTCCATCTCTCACTTCCATGTCCTTGAAGTTGTGTGGTATACTAGGCAGTTCTTTTGTCTATGCTTTAGATTTTTTCCCATTTTGGAGGTAAACTCCAGATTTCCATTTTAGCTTGGATTTTTTGAGTTTTTTTAATCCCTCTTTTCCGTAGCTGTGGCAAATAGGGCTGTCCTTTCGTCCAAGATGATAGGGTATAAACTGACTGGAAAGATGAAGAACAAGGCAATATGTATAGTAATGCCGTCGGACTGGTAGGGAAATTGTAAAGGTGAGTTTGTGGCCGTTGGATGTTACCGGAAGTTGACGGCTGAGGTATTAAAGCAAGCACTCTCCAAAAAGAGCAGCTCATCAAAGACTTGAATTAGTGAATGAGTTTGCTGTACCAGCCTGTTTGAGCGCTGACATCTGGCTGTATGTATGTGTGCCAGAAATCATTACATGGCCATCGGTGGGTTGGGCCTTGCGTGGGAGGAGATACTCAGGTAGATAAGAGACTGAACTGTCCTTTTTCGGTTATCATGGTACCGATGCTGTATATCTGAAAGGTACAGTACTGTGATAACTGAAGAATGGTGGTGCCATCACATTGAGAAAGGGCAAGCACTGCTGAGGGGGCGTTGCACCATTGGGTCATTGCTGGGGGGCATGGAGACCAGGAGCTTGACAGATTCTTTTGCAGGGGTTTTTTAAATTTTGTGTTGGTAGTGAAGATCTTTTTGGAAAAAGGAAATGGAAGAAAATACATTCTGTTAGCAATGGGAGAAGACTGATAAGCAGCAAACTGATGAGGACTGCATTATCTGCTGACAACTTGTGTAAAGTGTTTCACAGGACAGGAAGCCTGAAGTTGGGTAATCCTCCGAGGCACGCCAGCACCAGGAATCAGCATTGCTAAAATAGACTGTGCAGTTAAAAGGCATTTGGAGGGGAGGTGAGGACTGGGAGTACAGCACCCTACGTGCAGAGATTCGCTTCCTGCAGGGAATTTGCTGGAAGCGGCCGACAGTCTGTGGCCACCACGGCCCCATCAGCTTCTCGGCTCTCTCTTTGCTCCTGCTCTCCCAGCCTCGGCTGCGGGGCAGCAGCAGGGCTGGTTGCTCACACAGCGCTGAGACTGTGTCCAGACGTGTGTAGTTGTGGGGCATGAGGTTTGGCAGAACATTATGTGAGAAATGGAATGCATGTTTTTATTTTTCCTTGACACTTTTTTTTTTTTTTTGCCCTTAGAGATTTTTTTTTTCCAGTTTAGCTATAGGGCCTTTATACCTTTTCAAGACAGCAGCCCCTGTGGAGATCGTCAAGATGTGACTGGATTTTATTTTGTTAAGTTCCTGTGCTCTCCTTGACATACTCTCTCACCAAACATTAATTGTAGTGTCTAGTCTTCAGAAACGTTGCCTAAAATTACTGCGTCTCCCAGGAAAACAAAGTGGTGTACTCTGAATGGAGTTTTACAGGACTGGGGCAAAACGCAAATTATGTGTGAGACTTGGGCTATCTTTCTCTGGATTTCCTGCCTCTCCGGGTTTCATGCAAGGGGGGCTGCTGTGGGGTGGGAAAGGGCAAGTTTCCTTTCTCTTTGGTAAGCTGGCATGGGGGGGGCGGTGTGGGGGTTATAAGGAGTTTGTTTTTGAAAGTTGTATCTGTTCTGGACCCTTTTCCCCTTTCTCATTGTGGGAGGTTGCAGTGGCCCAAAATGATGAAGGATGAAGATAGGAAGAAATACATATCCTTCAGGAACCCAGTGGGCAAAGTTAACGTCGTATTTGTGGGTGCAGTTCAGGGTAAAAAAGGCCTAGAGTCTATCTTCAGTATAATCATGGTTGGGGGGTCAGTTTATCCTAGCTGGATTCAAGAGTTTGAAGAGCAAACTACCATTTATTTTTACGTATGGTTAAAGTCATAA